AAAAAAAAAAAAAAAAGAACAATTACAACTGCAACAGAAAGAAAAATAGCCGGGCATTGTGTTGGGTGTAATGCCACAGCTGTAATGCCACAGCACTCTACCAAGGGCTACATAATGAGACTCTGTCTAAAAAAAAAAGGAAAAAAAAATTAAGTACCATTTTTTTTTTTGTTTTTTTTGTTTTTTTTTTTAAGTACCATTTGTTTATTTTTGTTGCTGTTGCAGTTGCCACTGAAGTCTTCTTCATCAAGTCTTTCCCCAGGCCAATAACTTGAAGTGTTTTCCCCACACATTCTTTGAGGATTTTTTATTGTTTCATGCCTTAGATTTAGATCTTTTGTCCCTCTTAAATTGATTTTAGTGAGTGGCAAAAGCTGTGGGTCCAGTTTCAGTCTTTTTTTTTTTTTTTTTTTTTTTTTGAGCCAGAGTCTAAACTATGTCGCCCTCAGTAGAGTGCTGTAACATCACAACTCACAGCAACCTCAAACTCTTAGGCTTAAACAATTCTCATGCCTCAGCCTCCTGAGTAGCTGGGACTACAGTCACCTGCTACAACATGAGGCTATTTTTTGGTTGGAGTTGTCATTGTTGTTTAGCAGGCCCAGGCCGTACTCAAAGCCCCCTAGCCTTGGTGTATGTGGCTAGCACCCTACTTACTGAGCTGCAGGTACTGAGCCCCAGTTTCAGTCTTTTATATGTGGTTATCCAGTTCTCTCAGCACCATTTACTGAATAGGGATTCTTTCCCCCAGTGTATGTTGTTTGGTTTATCAAAGGTTAGGTGGCTGCGCTCAGCGCCTGTGGCTCAAGCGGCTAAGGTGCTAGCCACATACACCTGAGCTGGCGGGTTCAAATCCAGCCCGGGCCCACTAAACAATGATGGTTGCAACCAAAAAATAGCCAGGCATTGTTCTGGGCTCCTGTAGTCCCAGCTACTTGGGAGGTGGAGGTAGGGGAATCGCTTGAGCCCAGGAGCTGTAGGTTGCTGTGAGCTCTGATGAGACGGCACTCTACCCAGGGCGACAGTTTGAGGCTCTGTCTCAAAAAAAAAAAAAAAAGGTGGCTATGAGATGTTAGTTTCATCTGATGGTAGGTTAAAGGTTAGGAATCATTTGCTTAAAAATTACAAATACAGGGTGGTGCCTGTGGCTCAGTTGGTAGGGCACCAGCCCCCTATACCAAGGGTGGCAGGTTCAAGCCCAGTCCCGCCCAAACTGCAACAACAAAATAGCCAGCGTAGGGGGGTGCCTGTGGCTCAAAGGAGTAGGGCACCGGCCCCATATGCCGGAGATGGTGGGTTCAAACCTAGCCCCAGCCAAAAAAAAAAAAAA